TGAAGGCCATTACTCCCCTCCTGGCCGGGAAAATAACTGGCGGATCCTGAATGCAGAGCCTTGGCCGATCTGGTCCGTCAGCCTCGATGGCCATGCCCACAGCTCCTTTCAGAGGCAGCAAAAGAGCCCGTCAGCAAGCTGGTAGGCTGGAATCCACCTCTCCTGCCCACATCCACCCCAGTTTTAGAGCTGGAAGAATCAGCCCTTGCGTACAGGGACATTGCAGAGACAAATCACGACAACCCCAGCCTGCTGGTTGAGCTCCAGCACCCGCCCGCTCTGCCCCACTGCCCTGGGAACAAGCGTGGGGCTGGGAGCAGCCCGGACCCGGCACCTGGAGAGCAGGAGGAATCAAACCGTGGGGCAGCAGAGCCAGGAGCACACACCCAAGAGCTTTTAGCAACTGTAGGAAACAGCTCTCCAGCGCACTTCCCGAGGAGTCCAAACACACCATGTTTGTTTTGCTGATAGAAAGCTTCTGACGAACGTCTAATCACCAGACATTTAGCAATCGGAGCGTGCTATGTAAATACAACATAATTTATTGGTTCAATTTCAGAGAACTATAGTGGTATTTGTACGAGTGTCCTAACAATAGTACAAGAAACCAGAGTCATGTATGTACAGAGATTCCAGGACACAGAAAAACTTTGTAAGGAAGAAGTGGTTAATGGTACAGTTTGGTCGCTGTTCATAGAAACCTTCCCTCTTACTGTAAACCCCGCTCCCCCACTCCCCCCCACATCCTAGGTAGAGACATCTACCTACCTCGGGGCGCTGCCAAGCTCCCGCCAGGCAGCGGAGTTGCTCGCGCAAGCAGCAGGCAAGGCTGCGTCTGGCCGCACACCAGAGACGCTGGTTACGAGATGCGTGCAGCTGAGTGCGGACGTGCTGCTCGGGGAGAGGGAGAAGGCTCCGTACCCAAATGGGGGAAGCAGAAAACGGTCCACGCGCAGGCAGTAAGCGAGGCTGGAGGGCGAGCGGCCCAGTTCCTTCTCAGCAGGGTCAGCGTACCACAAGGAGACGGGGAAGCGCAGGTGTTCGAGGAGACGACTTCCCCACGCCTGTCCCAGCGCCTTCCCGTGCTCATTCCCATGAGGGTCTGCTTCGCCTAACGCTGCCAGCGCAGATCCCCGTCCCCCGTGGGGACGGCGCACCCAGAGCCGCAGCTGGGCTGCGCGCGGGGAGCAGCTCAGCTCAGAGCTGCTGTAAGAGGCGAGAGCAGATTCACAACAGCAGCGCTCCCCCACAGACTACGTTAGCAGTGGTGGCAGCGCCGGTCTAACCATGAAAGAAACCCAAGTCCGACTCCTTTCAGAGGGAAAGCAAGGAGGGCCCAGCCTTGGGGATAGGATGCCAAGCGGAGGGTGAGCACAAAAGCAGCTCTGTCCAAAAACTGGACTCACAGCCAGTGAAAGAGGTGCTGGAACCAAGCAGCACCCCAGGGATCCACGTACACCAGCATTTCTTCCCCAATCGCCACGTCACCTCCCTTCACAGGTGGGAAATGGGTGTCCGGAGGGAAGTACCGCTTCCATGGCAGCACCAGCTACACGACACGGCTCTATCTGAAGCATCTGGCTCGGCTCGCTTGGTGCTGCTGCAGTGAGGGACAGGGAAGAGGCAGTACCGGTAGGCTCTTCCCTCCTCAAAGAGCGAGCATTTCCACCAAGTGGCCCAAAATATTTTCTTTTCTTTTTTTTTTTTTTTTAATAGAAATTACTATAAAAAACTAGTTAATCTAGAGCATCTTTAAAAAAATATTCCTGCAGTATCACAGTTTTACATTGAAACTCATTAAAAATATATAGATTTCTTTAACAAAACGTCTCTGATCTCCCCTTGAATCATGTCTCCAATACAGGAGTGGGACTCGGAGTCCTCGGAAGAGACACCGAGGTGGGAGCAGGAAGGTCTGATCTCAGTGGCACATCCGGGAGGTCATTTCCTTCTGTCAAAGGGACAGAAAAGACAAGGAACCATGAATGAAGATCCAGATCGCCAGGTGAGGGTGTGGATGAAAAATACCTCACCTTTGTTTAGTCGTAAATACCCTTCTCAGGCATGCGGTGACACTGTTTCTAAGAGCTCCAGTTTGGGCAGGTCCCTGTTCCCCCACCACTCCCATTCCCAGGCCCCGGCAGGGCACCCTCCCACTGCCTAACAGCTCCGCATGTCTGCTCTGTCGCTTACGGCTTTAGAAACACCATCACCGCCTCCTAGGTCTGACTGGTCACGTTCTCCATCCTCCAGACTCCTTGTGAAGGCGGTGGTGTTGCCCTTGCTTTCCAGCATGGGAAGTAAGCACAGGGAGGGGGTTTTAGCCAGCGGCTAACAGCGCCGGGCTCACACAGCACACGCAAATAAGGCAAGCCAGCTGCTGGAAATGCAAGGAGGTCGCTGGATAACAAGTCAACTTCCCCCAAATGACCCTGGCCCAGCTGTGCCTGTGTGTCCTGACTCCCAGTTTCCTGGACAGTCAAACTGCAAGGCCAACTGATGTCCTGAATTTGGGCACCCAGTTTTGAGAAGGTACCAGAGACCTCTGTGACTCCTCCACCCCCAGCCCGGCCCTTCTGCGCTGGCTGCAGACCCTGACACGCCAATGTGTGCCCTGAGCCCACCCAGACACTCACCAGGGGTTCCAGCTCCTTGGTGTCTATGAGATTGAACTCTTTCACGAAGTAGTAAAAGTGCTTGTAGCAGGTGTTCACGTGAGCTTCCGACCCCATCTGGGTGATCCTGTCGAAATGGTGGATGTAGACATGGACAAAGACCCGGAAGAGCCTGGAGAGAATCTTCTTCACCACCGGGAGGAAGTTCTTGGGGAAGGGAGTACCTGGGAGGGAAGACACAACCATGAGAAACTTTCAGCCAAGTTAAAACTGGTTCCTTGGGGCTAAAATAAATTCATAAAATGGATAGATCAAGACAAAAGGTCTTCTGTCCCTGGTAATTTCCAGTTCCCCTATCCTTTTTTTCCCTTCCATTTGGATCAGATTTTTCAAAGCACAGATTTCTTAAGTGACAGAGTGCTACACACCATTGATTGCTGCTAGTGACTGAAAGCAAAGAGACCAGCCTCGGAGATTCCCAGCAGCTGTTTCAGTCTGATAGAGTTTTCTTCTACTCCTATTTGGCATGTTTCTATGAACAGTGCAAAATACTAGATATGACCAAGCAACTTCCCAGAAGAAAGAGTCAGTGCTGTTAACTCCCCCCAGTTATCTCTTGATATGTCTTTAGCTCTTTGGTTAAAAATTAAAGACATTAAGGTCCCGTTTAAAGGCATCAGTTCTTTAGGATTTGTTTAGCCAGGGCCCTGCAGCAGAGCGGGCTGGCCAACCAGCCATCTCAGTCGACTATTACAGTTCAAAGTTCACACAAGTCGTTTCTGGAGGAACGAGGATTAGTTAAACCCTTACAGTGCTCTGCAGCATTTCAGTCAGCATTAAGGGTGACGAATCTGGTTAAAAGCTGAGCTGAAAACAGCAACAATAATAAAACCAAAAACCCACAACCCTCCTGCTGTCGGAAGCTTGTCTTGCCTCCCCGAACAGAACAAACACCCTGCTTATAGTCCCCAGAGAGTCTTGCAGAAGAGTCCTAATGAAAGGCAACACAGCAGCCGTTTGCGTGACAGGAGGAACGGGTAGGGAGGATTTCAGTGTTTCGGCTGTCTGAAGAACGGGCTGTTTCTGCTCCCTGACTCTGCCCGCTCAACACCAAGTTTAAGCAGCATTTTGGCACGGGTGGAGGAGCCCCGTGGACGCTTGTGTGGCAGACACGTCCCAAACAGGGGCCAACCGCGTCCCATCAGAGCTTTGACCGGATAAATGCCGGGGCAGGAGGGAGGGAACTCTCTTGCATCTTGTCTTTCGCATCCCAGAAGATGGGAGCTCTGAATGGGATCAAACATATTTACCTAATGCTTTAGAAACTGAATTCTCACATCTTATTCAGCACAAAATAAACAAAAAACCCAACAATCTTTGTCCCAAAGCCAGTACACGAAGCTGCGTTTGGATATGCAGATTTAGGTGTCTTAGGCCAAATTCTCATTTCCATCACCCTGGCAATAGATAAAACACCGCCCCTCCCTCCATGCACATGTCAGCATCCCACCCAGCTGCAACAAACAGCCGAGCGCACGCCAGGAAGCACTGAGCTAGAAAGGGCAGAGTCAGCTAACGCCAGCCCATAATAACAAAGAGGCTAATTATGGAAACGTGGCCACCATCACCAGGCTGACGCAGAACACGCACATTGAACCCAAGCTAGCAATCAGCTCTAAAAGAGCTGTCCTTCAGGAGATCATGTCCAGCATGAACTACTCAAGAGTCATGTCAGAGACGGACTTTTCTATGAGCAGCCTCTTGTTTTCGCTGCCTAGGCTCGGCTTGGCTTTCCTCGAGGTATCCATGACTCCAAATGGGATCTGGTAACAGCTCTGGGTATTTTAGCACTCCAGAAGAGCTCTGAAGTTTCTCAAGTGCTCAGAAGAGCTTACTACACTGCCAGCCTCTGAGCAGCCCAGAAGGAAATAGCTCTGCTACACCGGTGATCTGTGCAACAGCATCTCCTGGAACAGAAAGGGGACCTGAGGGCCCAAAGGAGAAGGCTCTGCACCAGCCTCCCTCCCCCCAGCCGCAACTGGAACTGAACTCACCGACATTAGTGGGAAAGATGTCCTCGTTGTTGATCTGTACCTCAATCCAGTCCATCAGGAGGTTCATGTACTGGGGAGCAGACAGGGCCGTGGGTTTTCGGTACTTGTGCTCGTCCTGCCATCGGTACTCGTACTTGGGTCCCCCCGACATGACGGGGCAGGACTGCTCTGTGCAATAGTCACTGATGGTGCCGTAGATCAGGTTGATGCGGTTGAAGAAGTCCACCACGTGCACAGCCACCCAGTCATTCTGCTCCTCTCCCGGCGGCAGCTGGACGGCAACTTTCAAGTCCAGGCCAGCATTGAGCGAGGCTTGAGCCTTCTTGTGCAGCTCAAACCGCTGAGTCCCTGGCTCAAACTTGCGCTTGGGCCGGAAGGTTTTGTCTTTATTGAACACTTGCTTTAAAGCATGGGACATTTTTCTTCTCTTCTTCTTTCTTTTCCAGGTCCGTAGCGATGACAGCCAGAGACACGACGCTGCTGGGCCGCTTGCCGGGGCAGGGCTGGAGCGACTCTGATCTTCACAGAAACTTCCCTCTGCTCATCTGGTCCTGATCTGCAAGGCAGCACAGAAGGACAGTGATTAGGAGCAGCTCTCTCAACAGGAAACCTTGTCTAAATCCCATAGGAAGAGATCTGGGATACCATCTGGGCCCTCGCCCCAGATCTGAGGAAGGGGGGAAGCCAACGCCAGCTTTTTTTCCTCCCCCTTCTCTTTACAGCCCAGCTTGCAGCAGAGCGGCGGCTCGGCTGGCAGAGGCGACCTGGGCTGAACGAAGTCGCCCCGGCGACGTCTCCCATCGCGCTCTCCGCGGGGGGACGAGGGAACCAGCCCCACAGCCCCACAGGGAAGAGGCGCAGCCTCTGCAGGAGATGGCTGCCATTCACCCCGACATCGCCACACCAAGAGCCCCAAACCCCACAGAAACAAGGAGAAACTCCACCGCCTATTCAGCTCCAATACCCCAAATAGTTAAAAAGGGTAAAACAAGTTGGGTTTTACCTGTGTCAGATTTTTCACCTACGCTCCCCCCACCTTTGGAAACAAGCCCACCGAAAGGTAAGGTTATGACAACCTACAATAACGTTCAGATCTGTTGCCAGACGTAGTCCAGCACAACAGCTGCTTGAGCAGGAGCTGCGTGCGCTGTTGTAGCGCTGAAGACAGGACATGAAAGGGCGGAGGGGAACAAGAAGAAGAAGTCACAGCTCAGGCACCCGGAAAGAGAATATCCTGAAATAACACCAGCTCTAAGAGCAGCCACAGCCTCTTCTGCAGGTGCAGACAGACCATAAACCTGTTTTTCATTTCAGTTTAGCTCACTTCAAGTTGAAGGCTGGTTGAAAGCTGGAAGACCAGGGAAAGCTCACCTTCCTCTTCCAGGCTGTGGAAAAGAATTAGCTCCAAGAGGGTGAGACACAAGTTAAGATCTGAAAGGATGCTGACGAGAAACACAGCTCTGTTTATCTGTGGCTAATTATACCTCCTTTGTTCCCACATCCATCCCCTCGTATAATTTGTGTCAAGCTGCTCTTTGATGGAAGCTCAAGGCACAAAGCTGTGTGTACCAAAAATATTATTTTACATGTGCTGGACAGAGAAATAAAGTAACAGAAATTAACTAAAGCTGATGCCTTACTGAATCTGGCAAACAAGAGTTTCCATAATTTTCTAAGAAAGCAAGTAAACAAACCCCTTTCACCAAGCAGAAATATATTAGATCAATATGAAGCCGTAGTGTTGTTCAAATAGGCAAACAGTATCCTCAAATGTTGGCAAGAAAGTCCCAAATTCAAGGTCAAGACTACCTTTGCCACAATTCATCCCATCTCCAACAGATGCTGCATAGTGCTAATCAGCATTTCTTCTCTGGAGAAAGATTAAAAAGATTTAAACCAAGGCCTCTTGTTTTCTTATTTAATTACAGCAAGGAAGAAAACCCAAACCACTTCAGTTCGTCCCACTAAGAACAGGCTCAACATTTCCTAGTGCTGCTTTTCCTGCGGGAACGGGCTCAGTAACCTCTTCTGTGCAGGAGCAGAGAGATCAAAACTCCTGTTGCAACATGGGCCACGACATGCGTCGGGAGAAACCGAAAAAGCATTTTAATGTGGTTCAGTGAGATCCACCCCGGGCTGCAAGGTGAACTCACTGCACACGTGCTTTCGCCGCACATAGCACCGCTAAAACAGCTGCTGCGACCCCGTAAGCTACCGCGTGAGAGTCAAAAAACGAGAAAAGAAGAAAAAGAAGGAACCCCCCCGAAAACGTGTCCTTAGGAGGTGTTTGATCGCACCACAGACGTGGTTAGAGGAAGTAGCGAGCGGTGCGGAGGGACATCTGAGCGCGAGGCAGCAGCTTTGGTTACCAAGCGCTGTGTCACCGCCTCACCACATCCTGCAGCAAACGCCGAGGTGACCCGGCGCGGCGGAAGCACCAGGGGACTGCGCCCACCCCGCCGCGGTGCCACGTCCGGAGCGAAGGCAGGACCGGCCTCCAAGGAACGAGCAATGTGGACAGCAGGCGCTGAGTCTGCAGCTATTTCCAGCAGGAAATCAGTCCCAGAGAAGCGCTTGCACGCAACGATTTCCTTACACTGGAGATGGAGAAAGAAGCATCCTTTAAAACAAACGAGCCGTAAAGAAGCAGGAGCGTCGCCCTCCACGCAGCTCCCCGGAGGGCTGGCAGCATCCTTGGTGCGGTACGGCTCCGTCCCTGCTTATTTTCTGTCAGATCTGTCCGACTGCAGCGACCACGCTCGCATGCGCGCTGGCCCGAGAGCGCAGCCGGGCACCGTCCCCTCCGCTGGGCGAGGACGCGGTTCTCGCGGGTCCCAGCGCAGAGAAGGGAATGGGGTAAAACTGAATGGCAAAACCGCAGGGGAAAAACCAAACGTCCCCCGGGCTTGGCCACGCGCGTCAAGAAGCCAACGCTGACATTTTCCAGAAGAAATTGTCCTTTGAGTAGGGCGGAGAGACTTTTAACACGGCTTATTTGGGATCGAGGCAGTACCTGTCCTACAAACAACTCCCTCTCCC